ATTCACATTATGCTATTACTCACTGCTAGGAAACAAGAATATCCACTGACTGGTCAGTGGAGGGTGTTGACTGAATAAGATGGATCATTTTGCAATGTGGTCATAAAGCTAGGAGGCTTAGCATCGTGGTGAACTTTGATGGATGTTAGTTGATTGCAGGTGTATCTGCAACCTCGAAGGAACTAATATTCCACTTTACATTTGAACCGGCATTACCCGGTCAGCGTTCAGGACTAGATGACATGAAATGAGTTGCTTTCCAGTGATCGATCATTTCATTCAATACAGTCCAGCAAAAAGCTGTCACCGACTGCAACAATTGGTGACGTGGTTTTGAATCTCAGGTGGGATACCAGTTCCTTCAAGACTACAGATACCTCTTGATGGTGAGTGTCAACTAGCGTGAAACCAAGGCAAAATACGCCTTCTTGCCGATTACACCTAACTAAATAACATCTAGAATGTTCCCTAAAACTAACTACACGTTAGAAAACTTAATCACTATTATTTGTATTGTTGTTCCTCTTCAAGGGATTTCCAATGTTCCATCTGTCTTTCCAATTCACTGAGTGTGTTAGTAATGCTGTTACACACTCAATTTATCGTATGAATTGTCTGCTTTGAGGTTCGATGGAAACTGAAGAACTCTCAGGATATTCATAGCATCAGATAATCTGTCATTTAACAGACCTAGTCACAAGATAACTGATCTTTCAAATACCATTAGATGAAAACTTAAAAAACTCAGTATTCAGTGGTTGTTACTCAACTACATCTTGGTGTCATTTAGGTTAATCATTAAACTGGCTCATTTTAATTTTTGTAATGATACTTTCTAATTCTTTAGGTAATGATTTTGAGTATTCATTCTATTGATAATTGATGCTACACACTCATTTGTGTCATCCTTGCTTACTTCTTTACAAATCTGGCAAACTGGATAAAATCTGTGATGACTGAAGTGAAATAAAAATCTGGTCAGTAGTTGAACCTCGTGGCTCAATTGGTTCGAAGACGGCCGCGGTTCAAATTTTCATTTCACCTTCAATCATCATCCAGTATAAATCTGTAACTGCAATATATATTGTTGAGCACCTGATAACCACGCTTCACTAGATACTTTAGTCAACGTTATCTAAAACATTGGATAATTCAACTTGAAGTCAATCTGCATTCGTCAAATGTGTATAGCAAAGACTTCACTAGAATCAGTCGGTTAAAACCCTTAGTAAAATGGTTGGACAAGAGCAAAATTTGAACACTGCGTTAAGTTATTTTATTCCATTCAGGTTCTTCGGTTAGACACTTCTACGACACACTGACAAGTGAAGCAGAACAGGCTGCAAGTAGGAAAGGCAGAGACTTGACAACATTGTATCAAATAACCAGGTTGCTATCTGGGAAGAGATCAACACACATGAAACCATTAAAAGATAATGAAGGGAATCATATTAACGAAGAAGAGAAACAAAGGAAAGGATGGGCTGACCACTTCGAAAAGATCTTGAATCGACCACCACCTGCACTTCGTCCAGAAATACCACCTGCGGGCACAGAACTACAAGTGGACAAGAATCCTCCAACAAAAGTGGAAGTTCTGAATGCCATAAGGCTACTGAAATGCGGGAAAGCAGCAGGACCAGATGGAATAGTGCCACAAGCACTGAGAGCAGACGCGAGGAAAACAGCGGACATGCTCACACCACTATTGCAGAAGGTGTGGAAGGAAGGGAAGGTACCTGCCTATTGATTGGAAGAAGGGCCACCTTGTCAAACTCCAGAAGGAGGGAGACCTCGGTGTTTGCAAGGACTGGCGTGAAATCACGCTCCTATCCACCCCAAGCAAAATATTATGCCGCATCATCTTCGAGAGACTAGGGGATGCGCTGGGTTCAAAAATACGACCGGAACAGGCTGGCTGGCTTCAGGAAGTACAAATCATGTGCGGGCCAAATTGCAATGCTTCGCATCATTATAGGACAGAGTATAGAATGACAGTCAACTCTCTACGTCAACTTCATCGACTTTGAAAAGGAGTATTTTGTCAGCTACTACTTCAACACTACGGTTTTAGTGTCACAAGCCTTTATCAATCTCATTCAACAGCTATATGAAGACGCCACATACCAAGTGATTCACAATGGGAAGCTCAGTGATGTTTTTGAAGACAAAGACAGGAGTGAAACAAGACTGCCTACTATCACCCTTGATATTCCTGATTGTAGTCGACTGCAGCATGCAAAAACAGTGAGGAGCTGTGAGAAGAGGGGGATACGCTGCACCACGGAAAAGATCCTAGAAGATTTGGATTTCACCGACGACTTGTGTCTAATGTCTTGTGACACATACTCGAAGATCCACAGGCAAAAACTAACAAGTTGACAGAAGAGGTGGGGCAGGGCATGGAAGACGGGACTTTCTCCACGCGAACGTAGAGAAGACACAGGTGATGAAGATACCCAACCAACAATAACAACAGCAACAACAACAAGCTCCAATCACCATCAACGAGAGAAACCTAAAGGAAATAGACTCCTTCAACTACCTAGGCAGCACTGTTTCAACTACAGGTGGCGGAGATACAGACAAGAGCGTCAAAGCCAGCCAGCATCGGAAAGACAGCAAGACAGGTGTTGATTAATCTGAAACCAGTGTGGAGATCTACCCCACTGCACTATGCACAAAACGTCAACAACATCTGGATCCGGATTTTCAACATCAACCTCAAGTCAGTGCTGCCGTATGGTTCAGAGACTTGGAGCGTTACGAAGGTGATTTGCAACAAACTAGAGACATTGATGAAGAACTGCCTACACTGACTGGTTACTGAAATGAGATGAGATGAGATGGTCAGAATAATAAGAATGAGCGTGAAGGAACTGAGGCTGTCTGGAAGCTGGCTGGCTGGCAACGAACCAACCAAGAAGTTATCGCTCAACAAATATGCAGGTGAAGAAAGTGGAGATGGATTGGTCATGCACTGAGAAGGCCGACTGAGGACATCACTCGTCAGGTCAGTTGGTGGAGTGAAACTTCGATGGGAAGCGATGAGTTTGGCGTGTGAGATGAGGGTGACATGGAGGAGATCATGTGAGGAAGAAATGAGAGCTTGTGGGCTGTCGTGGAACCAGGTTCAAAAGATTGCAGAGAACAGAGTGCACTGGAGATGTGTTACTGAAGCCCTATGTTCCATTAGGAACCTAAGAGAAGAACAAATTATATGTAACAATAAGTTCTTCGGTTGTGTGTGACATACAGTAGAACATAGAACTAAGGAAATGAAAATGAATATTTTAAACCACTGTGACCTTGACATCATTTTTTTTATTCAAAAAACAACCATCAAAGCCACCTCTTTAGTAACTGCCATTATACCGAATAATCTCTGATTCTCATCTCACAATTTAATCTGCACTTTTAGTTGTTTTCAAAGTTCAGAAATCATTTTTACCTTATAAGTAACCATATAAAAGAAATTGCCATAAATTGACATAAGTACAAAGATGAATATACATTTCTTTCATTACAATACGTCTCACCAACACGTCACTTATAGTATTACAAATGATGTTGTCTGGATTCCCGTGTAGGTTTGTACCGACTTTTGTCGATCCTACTAAAAGACTGTACACTTTCGAAGACTATTCATACTCACACTTGGTAAAATCATTACTTTATGAACCAGTTCGACTGACTCATGATATATTCACCAACCCACTACCTCTCTCTAATACTGTCCAATATAAATAGTCAGTGAGTGAAGTGTAGTTTAACTGACTAGATATCAGCACACAAAACTTATCGATTTCATATGTTAGGGTGAACCTTCTCCGATAATAATCTCGGATTCAGCAAGGTTGTAATTTGGACTATAATTTTTTTCATTGTTGGATAGGTGCCAACTTTATTGAGACCAACCCTTCCTAGTTGTTGGGGAACATTCTCAAGAAATGAAGTGGTAACTGATGGTTATTCAGCAATACTTACGGGTTACAAACATATCTGAAGTTGCTAAGGTATATTTGAACGATATCCACATCAGACAGGAAGTGACTAGCATTGGCAATGTGCTTTCGAAAATCAAAAAATCTTTTCTCACTTATAATCAATATAGCTAGCTATAGGTTGATATGGTTTGCACTATCAATCTTATCGAATTTGAATTGTCAGAATTTATCTGTTCATCGCTTCACATATTTCCTTTGTCATAATATGTTTATTATCTTTTTACAGACTTACTTCTTGAAAGGATTAATTTACTTTGTTCTGTCACTTCAGTATCAATAGTTGCTTAGCTTCTTTTCGTGTCACAGGCAGACGTTAGTGCTCATTAGTGATTTGCTTCCAGATGGATATCAGGAAGCTCTAATGAGAAGCCGTGACTTGTGAGGTCAACCAGTCGGAAGTGAAGTGGATGCTAACTGAAGACTTTGGGTGATAGTCGTACTATGTCGCGAATTGACAGAAGTTGGAGATTGTGAACCACTGGAAACCTACACAGTGGCTGAATGGTTAACGCGTTCGCCGTGAAACCTGAAGGTCCTGAGTGCGATCCGTAGCTGGGTCGTGGGTGCGTGCTGCTGAGGAGTCCCATACTAGTTGGACGAATGAGCTAGCTGTCCAGTGCTCCCAGATTTTCAATGGTTCCCTAACTGATGTCAGTCCATGATGAATACTACTTCTAAATTAAAAAAATCCCCATTCATCTCAAAAATACAGAAGTATAAATGTTATCCTAAGTATTTTGTTTACAACTATCTGACGACACCTTATCGGTCTTCTCATGGAAAGCCAAACTTGAATAACACCGCTTAATCAGTCCTAAACGATCTGACGTTGATTTGACCAAGAGTATAAAATTATTCAATGAATTAGTATGATTAGACGAAATATGCATCCTGGATTCCACTGCTAGCCATAATCCATCAATACCATAACATTCGAGGAATGTTCCATAGTTTTGAAAGATCATGTGTTTTTTCAATAAAAAAAACACTTACCAGCTAGCATAAGAAATATGCCTATAAGCAGACGCCAAAGTTGAAAACTTCTACTCTCTATATTCTTTTTATACCAGACGATGATTAATGCAAGCGCAGTGATAAAGCATACACACATGATGATTATTCCAATAGCATGCATAGCCAGCTGAGCAAGACGTAAATCTATACAAAAAAGATAATACAAAAAAAGTGTAATAAGCCTTTGTCAAGAACTAAATTGAAATCAGTCATCTCATACAAATCATCGATTGACATACTTTGAGTGTTCATCAGTAAATTGTCTTAGAGTGGGATTTCCTAGAGGTAGAATGAGAAATCGTGACCCATGCCATCAATCAAGTCAAGTATAAAGAAAAATGACAAATTGTATCCGATGATGGCCAGCCCAAGTGAAGAACTGACATGAAGAAGTAGGAATATATGGACCATAGGATTCCAGCTAAATGAATGGATGGTAATCCATTCTCTTTGAGACGTGATGTTTATGAGTTCTTCCTCTCCTGCACTCATAGTTGCGTACTTCTGATAATTCCCATTACTGCTATTATCATTATTATTATTATTATTTGTCCCTTGGGTTCCTAGTGGAGCATAGGGTTTCACTAGCATAAAGCCATTTCACTCTCTTCACTACAGTCTTTTCAACCTGACTCCATGACTGCCCATTAAATTTCATTTCTTCCTCACACCATCTCCTCCATGTCACCCTCGCCTCGGACGCCCAACTCATCGTTTCCTATTCGGGTTCCACTCGAGGGTCTGGCCTGTTGCGTGATATCTCCAAATAGTCTTCTCAGTGTATATCCAACCCAATCCATCCATCTTCATTGACCATCTGATTTGATCTTAACTATGGAGTGAACGTAGGCGGCAGTTGTTGATATTTGTCTGTAGTTTGTCGGAAATGGTTTTCGTAACGCGCCCTCTACTATTCCCAAGGTCTTCAATGGGTCTCCAATCGATGTGAATTCTTGATAAATACTTTGTAGAGAAGTTCATGACAAGTGAAACGTGTTCTTCAATACTAACACAGTAGCAAGCCTTCTGCTTTATTTGTATCAATAACTTATAGAAGCTATTTCTTGTCTCTTGATAATAGAGGCAGTGTCATATGCATTTCATGTATGGTAATATTTCTAATATCTGATACATATTTAACTGAGTCTATACTCATGAAGAAACAAACACTGTAAGGTCGAAACTAATTCAGGTATTATCTTCTGTTGTAATCTTAAAATAACAATGCTGCCTGGTTTCAAAACAACCAGTTACACTGACGAAACATAAGCTTACAGAGTATTCCTTTCAGCCTTAGTACTGCCTTTTGATCATACTGACTGTTTGATTTAATGCTAAGGACCAACAATGGAAATAGGAAGAGCAACGCTTCGTTATAAGGAATGGAATTGTCTTCCGACTATGCCTACACTCTTGTTGGCATTTGTTCAAATAAGTTTTAACGTGTGTTCAACTGTTTCTACACTGATATACTATTATCCTTTCTTTTCTATAGTAAGATTAGTAGTAAAATCATTTCATGATTGTCTACACTACTAGGAAATCTGACTTTACAGAAAACTTCAACTTTCTTCTATACAAAGTTCAAATTAGGATTATTGTGTATCAGAAATGTGAAACTGTAATTCACCATTATGTATAGACAAAATAACAACAAGAGAATACACAAAAAACTAACTTGTCATAAGACTTGAAAAGTCATCGACCGCTAAATTTGGATCCCGATACTGACATGTGTTATCTGTGTAATCAATAAAAATGATGGTATAAGTAATAACAAAAATTTAAAGGTAAGCATAATATGTATTATATTCACATTAAATTATGTTATAATCATACTCAGTAAAATTCTATACAGCGTTTGGATACATGAGAATTGAGTTCAGAGTCAATATTTTATATCATATTTTTTTCATCAATAATAAAATTAATAATTATCATTGATCCATCAAATTAATGCTGGATTATAAGAAGAAATACGACTTTCATTTTCTGGTTGTTGAACTCAGAAGGAAAAGAGATCTCTGTCTTCACAGATGGATTTATAAAGAGTCTACTTGTAACTGACAGTATACGCATATTCAGAGTTGGATGCAGCTGAGCAAGAAGGAGAAACCTAGTTAATTCATTCTATTTGATAATCAGACGGATCTGGGCATTACATATGACAAATGATGGATTTAGAAAACTCTAACAATTACAGATTTAAGATTATTATCTATGTTGACTTTTGTAGGGAAACTGTGAACCAAAGTAACATCTCATTGATAAGTGTTGGTATCAAAAATGAGGCTATGGAAAAAAGTTTGAAGTATTATTTATCCAGATATTTAAAAATAAAGAAAACATTTTTCCTCATCAACTATGAATTTTGTGTTCTCCAGCCAAAATTTTCAATGTGTGAACGCGTCAAGGACGAGCAGACGCTTTGAATCACCTTAGTATATATCAACGTTTTGACTTGCTCCTGTAAAATCCGGTTACACTGATCATACAAACTATCCCCTTTTCAAAAGTATTTCACAGTATTGTCTTGTTTACTTGTCAAGAGAATGTTGTAAATCAATAAATTATTCACTACTTCAACGATATCTTAGTTTTGGTCACAAGGTCTTCATAGTCAAACCAAGCGGTTTGAAAAGTTCATGATTTCATAATTCATACACGACAAACTTATTAGTAACTCAATGTTTAAAACTTGTTCTCTGTATGCATAAGAAAAATGCATAGTATCTGATTCTACCTTGATAGTAACCCCCCAGTTTCTCAATTTATTATTCTCATTATTACCAATTAACTCACTATCATCACGTTTGCTATGGCATTTGCTTCTTACTTCACTTACTGTGTAATTGTCTTTCTCTTATATAAAAATGTGAAGTTATCTTGTGCTCTAAGATCATTTTATTAAAGCAATCTACATACATGTTGTATACAATCATTAACAGTTACTTGTTTTCACTGCTCATAACTATAACTGTACAGCTTCAGTAAATGATATCTTCGCAAATTAAAATACTTTTCTTTGTTAAATTATCCTCTTCCTTTATTGAAATTAATTTTCTACTGTGTGAGTAATGATATTAGTCAATAGACTGGACACTTAATTTTCAGGTAATAAACAATCTCGAATTTCAGTCTTATTTCAGCATGAATAACTTGGAATACATGTACAGTTTCATAAACCTATAAGCAAATTTTAAGATATACTTGATAATTATGACATGCAAACTTTCATGTGAACAACAGTGAAATTGCAAAGTGTGTAAATATTCGGTCGAAAATATAAGACATTGATTCACTTTCTATCAATTGATATTTATCTATATTTAATTATATACAATAGTGATTCACAATGGGAAGCTCAGTGATACTTTTGAAGACAAGACAGGAGTGAAACAAGACTGCCTACTATCACTCTTGATATTCCTGATTGTAGTAGACTGCAGCATGCAACAAACAGTGAGGAGCTGTGAGAAGAGGGGGGTACGCTTCACGACGGAAAAGATCCTAGAAGATTTGGATTTCACCAATGACTTGTGTCCAATGTCTTGTGACACATACTCGAAGATCCACAGGCAAAAAATTAACAAGTTGACAGAAGAGGCAGCGAAGCTAAGACTTCAACTGAGTGTACAGAACACAGAGGTGATGAAGATACCCAACCAACAACAACAACAACCATCTCCAATCACCATCAATACGAGAAACCTAAAGGAAATAGACTCCTTCAACTATCTAGACAGCATCGTTTCAACTACAGACAGCACAGATGAGGACATCATAGCCAGCCAGCATCGGAAAGACAGCAAGATAGGTGTTGATTAATGTGAAACCAGTGTGGAGATCTACCCCACTGCACTATGCACAAAACGTGAACAACATCTGGATCCGGATTTTCAACATCAACCTCAAGTCAGTGCTGCCGTATGGTTCAGAGACTTGTAGCGTTACGAAGGTGATTTGCAACAAACTAGAGACATTGATGAAGAACTGCCTACACTGACTGGTTACTGAAATGAGATGAGATGAGATGAGATGAGATGGTCAGAATAATAAGAATGAGCGTGAAGGAACTGAGGCTGGCTGGCTGGCTGGCAACGAACCGACCAGGAACTTATCGCTCAACAAATATGCAGGTGAATAAAGTGGAAATGGATTGGTCATGGACTGAGAAGGCCGACTGAGGACATCACTCGTCAGACCAGTTGGTGGAGTGGAACTTCGATGGGAAGCGATGAGTTTGGCGTGTGAGATGAGGGTGACATGGAGGAGATCGTGTGAGGAAGAAATGAGAGCTTGTGGGCACTCATGGAGCGAGGTTCAAAAGATTGCAGGAACAGAGTGGAATGGAGGCGTGCTACTGCAGCCCTTTGTTCGATTAGGAACCTAAGGGATAAATAATAATAATTATTATTATATGCAATATCTGCAGTCAAAACATTATGTGATGAAGTGTTCTACCGCGTCTTTGCTACCATAAGTTATGCATAAATATGAAGCGAAAACTACATTTCTGTTTATCAAAGAAGGATTATAGTCTAATTTCGAAATTAACTGAATGGAATTATTATTTCTCATCTTAACTGGACATCAGTTGGAATATCTTGGTTTGTCTACTCATGATAAGTTCATGGCTTAAAATATGAGATTCATGTTTGAATAATGAGTGTTCTTGTTGATCACCTGAAGCTATAAATCACTTGAACAAATCACTAACAGTGGTTCTCATAGATGAAACCAATTCAAATCTTCACCATATCCTGAAACACTTATCACTACTACATATGCATTAATAGTCTCTGTATTATATTATAAATGTTTTGACAGATGAACTTCATCTTCAGTTGCCATTCAAAGATGAAGTCATTCACATTACTCAACACTACAATGAGTGAGTTATGGGATTTTTAACTTAGTAGTAACGATCAGCAGAATTCGATCATCATGACAGATGGCACTGTGTACTAAGCAATGATCAGGTAATGTATATGTCATCTAGTCAAGCAGAAGGGTAATCGTTACTTCACTAGTTTAGCTGTAAAGTTTCTGATCGTAGCACTGAGTACTGAAGGTTCATATAACCAAGGGGAAATGAATTCCATTGAAGCTGTTGACGAATGCTAAGATACAAGAAACACAGGTTCACAGCATCTAGCCAATATTCTCTAAACACCTGATACCAGTGCTCAAGTAAGTAACTCCATAAGTGAGTCATATACCGTCAAACCTTCGGGAGATTATCAGTCTCATTAAGGTTGCAGATACTGCTTAATCATGAGTTATAACAAACCCTAAATGGTGGAAGATCAGGACTTCCTGACCACTAATTCCTAACATTTGGAATACTTCTTCAAGCTTAAAAAGTATTTTTCAAAACAGAACCTGGAAAAAGCACATTCAATAATCAGTGTTCATATCTTTCTCCACCTACTCTTAAATGCTAAACTTCACTGAATCTAGATTATTATATCCTGATCATTACATCTTAACTTAATCTCGGTGAGTTTTATTATCAGATTATTAAAGAGACATGAATGTGGGGTCAGAGAAATAGGTGAGAACATCTAGACTTGTCACACCATCACTCTCACTAGACTTATGTAGAAAATAACATTATACCGTGCAGTAGTCGTAGACATGACTCTCATGGAGTCGCTTGCTCTATGAACAACTATCTACAGAATTGTATTGCATATATAAATCAGTTACTCATCAGTTTACACCTTAGTTGATTTTTAAGGCTAAGCATCTAAATAAGCTACCACATCAAGATTCTGTTTAAGTGGATAATTAAAAGTTGAAGGAAACAATAATTGACTTCGATGTTTGGTAAACACTAGTGCATAGACTAACTGTCAATTTTCAATAAATCTCTAGATAACAATATGAAATTCTGTTTAAAAGTGATAATGAAAGTTGTGTCGATGACAGACATTTAGCCAGGTGGTCTACAGTTCCAAAAGATGTGTGTCCTAAACATCCAGGCTTCCTGTCAGCTGCCTCCAACCAACTAAAACACTAGATCTCTGTCACCATGTCATATCAACCGAAAAGGGATAAACTTGAATCTCAAATGAATGTCATTGGTCATATTATTTTATGTATTTTGAAAGTCAACTTACTTATTACTTAGATAGTAACATAATTGCATAGTTCAATTAAGGAGCTTTCGAATTAGTCCTCAACCATTTATTTATGACTTATATTACGGAAATAATTGCTTGTTGAATGTAAATAAATTATGGTGCTTTGTAGTCAGTTAATTTGTATGCACACATGAATCAGATCAACTGAAGCGTACAGACAACAAGCACTAGATTTTGTGTTGTGTTTTACGAAGTTGCACGAGAGGACTAGAATGGCATGACTCATCGTATAGGTGAATTGAGTAAACGAAACTGGGTAAGTATATTGAAAACTAAGACTGAATTGACAGAATCATATGAATCAGAAAATCATAACTAGATGATCCAGTGACTAAATGGTTAACGTGTTCACCGTAAACCTGAAGATTCTCAGTTCGAATTATAACAAATAGTCGAAGCGGTTAACTCAGAAATAAAGCAAATGATTTACATCATTGTTTCATGAAATACTTCCTTACGTTATGCAAAGTTCAAAGTCGTTATTTAAGACCAATTATCCAATGACAGTTTCACTAAGTGAATAATTACGAAATATATGTTAATATATGAAATATGAGATCACTTGGAATTAGTGTGGCTCATAGACCAATAAATTCCCTCTAAACTCTACTCTATTATCCAGATTAAAGGATGCAATAGTTGAAGAAGACAAACTGAGTATCCTTTACAAAATCAACTGTGATAACTTCAGTCAACACTACATTGGACAAAGTGACCGCCCTCTTCGCCTTCGTCATTTACATGAACACCAATTGGCTATTAAACACCACAACATTTCATCACTCATTTCAATTCATGGGATAACAACTATGGATATGAATTCATTTTCCACAATGTATGAATTTTGGATGGAGAGAGGAAACACAAAGAATGTCAGGGTATTCCTAGAAGCTTGGCATTCACGTCAGTCAGCAATCAATAAATGCATAGACATAGATCCAACCTATCAACCAGTGAGAAAGATAATATACCTCAGAGAGGTTAGAGGTGAAGCAGAGGAATAGCCAACAGGAAAATCTATACAGTCAGTCAATGACACAACAATCAAAGGGAATAACCAATCACAAATCACTTCATCAGAGCAAGCTACTTAAATTACTCACGAAGAGATACTGACAGTATACTTCATACTGAAGTTAGTACTGTGGATGATGTCGTCTAGCAAGATGACGAAAACTTGACGATTAAACAACTCAGCTCAGAGAACACAATACAACCATGACTCATCTTGTGTTGAACAAAGACAGTAAAAGTACAACACAACAGTCATTTCGTATATCAGTACTATTTTTAAACACAAAAGCTGCCTAATATGATGAAGATAGATCATCAGAAGTACTTTTTAGTTTGACAAAATTTACTAGCTATATAGACATTAAATTAAAGGAGAAATAAGCTTCCGTATAATTTTATTATTTCTGTTGAGGAAACGTTATATCACTCGAAATAGGTTGAAAAATAAGCACTAATGATTAACCACTTCATTGAAGTTAACAATTTCTTAGAGATAAATGCACACTTAACCTATTTCGACTTCCAAGTCAGTACTTTATGCCTTCGTTACAAATAAGTTTATACTGGGTGATGATTGAAGGTGAAATGGAAATTCGAACCGAAGATTTTCCGCCACTAATTGTTATAACAGTATCTGTAAAAATGATGTGCACCTGTAAATTCAGTAATCAATATTATTATTATTATTATTATTTCATTTTATTTCTTCAGCTGCAAACAGCCTACAATTCTAATGAAGTATTAGTGGTAATAGTGGCATAACATATATAGAAATA